TGTACTTGTGCCTCGCGTGGCCTCAGGCACTACCACGAGAAAAGTGTGGCCTACGAGCTGTCTGAGTGCAGCTCTGCGGACGTGGAGTTACAATCACAGGCCACTCGGCGAATCCAATGTAGTGGAAGATGCTCCGCTTTCGTGCGAACGGGTAAGCGCCCTCTGAAGCGGAGCCTGATGATGAGAGTCGTCGTGTTTGCATTGAAGGCCTCACTGATGTACGTGTATGTGTCACCACGGCTGCTAATACTTCAGATCACTGCAGCGGTACTGTGATCTCCCAGGTGGCCACGTTTGATCATCCGCTGTCAGGCATTGGCTAGGGGATGCTGTCGGATGCTTACGTGTGGTCGGGTGTTGTGGTTCGGCTAGAGGGGAATCACGCTTTCATTTCAAGGATCGTGGGAAGCATGGGCGGTGGTACCGATGCTCGTGCCATGAGACATTCGCTGCGACTGCAGGGCCTCCTACTCCCGCAAACTCCTCCAGATTCGGCTGGCATCCCGACTGCAAGTTCTTCAGAGTAGAGCAACTCACGACAGAGCAAGCGCCTGCCCTCTGCTCAGCAATCCCTGCCTTCACCCCTTCTCGCCTCCCCACGCTACCTGCGACGAAATGATTTTGCGCATTCCAATGGTAAGATTCGCTTTCCTCGATTTTGCTGGAGTGGTTCGGCCCTGAAACTAAGGCAGTACTAAAGCAGCGAGTCTTGTCAGAGTGGGCCCTGATTCAAAAGGCATCCCTCGCCGCGTGTGACCCTGCTGCCTCCAGCAGAGTGTTGTGAAGGTGCAGCAGATGGACCGAGAGTTGACTGAAGGACTACAGGTGTGCAAACGTGCAAAAGAAAATTTCCGGGATTTCCAGCCAATCGGCTCTGGAAAGGGCTTTGACTCTAAGGGGTGTGACTCGGCCAGTAGCTGGATGGGGAAGTTCCAACTTGCATCAGCTGAGGCAAGAAGTGGTCGTGGGGCCATCGCTTTTGGTTGCCTTCGTCTTGACACTGGCAGGCAGGTCGGGTTTTGGAGACTTTGGCTGTCAATTCCGAGAGTGCTGTGGTGTCCGACGATCTGTGGGGTTGTTCAGGGCTTCTGATGCTTGCGTACTGCCAAATCCCCACATGAACGATAGTGGGCCAACGTGATTTTGGGCTGTATGCACTAGCGATCAACAGCAGGCTGCTCCATGACGGTGGCTTACTTGCACACAGCATCAGCTCGCCCGGGCAGATTTGCCATTCCTGACCGCTGCAGCATATTGCAGCATCAGTGTATACGCCACTCGAACAGCCATACTTGGGAGATCATCCGCCCGGGCTTGAAGACTTAGGCCTTCTCCGTTCACACGCGCTGCGTCTTTGGTCCCTTGGGCCAGTCCCACTTTTCCCTGTTCCAGCCCCTGGGATTGGTGCTAAAGCATGCTTGCAGACTCGGTGGCAGGGGAGTCGTTCCATGATCGTCGCAGATTGCTTGCGCAGCTGTTTGTTCCGGTTGGCATGGGAAAGGTTAGCATAACCCCGTCAAGCCTTACAGTTTAAGTGCGGTTATGGAACTTCCAATGTTCGGCAATAGGGTGTTCGGGCCGGGGCCGCGTCAGGGGGTGTGACTCACGACGCTCCACAACCACGTCATAGCCATCGCTTACACCGTAACACCAATGGCATTTAAACTTTCACGGCACCAAGGTTCGCCTACGGTATCCCAAGCTTCTCAGAACATCCGCTTGCGTGGCCGACCCTTTTCAACCAGGCGCACATCGGAGTTCCTACAGCTCCGAGATTCCTGGGTCGGTATTATGTTATAAATTTATGGGTTATAAATAAATGGGTATAATTATCATAGGCTACACATCATAGACAGGTCAACCATAGATTACGGGTTATAGCTTATACATCCTTAGATTCCTTAACGTCAAAGAACACCCACATGGGCCGAATATAGGGGCCTTAATGATAACTAGCCTAACGTTTGGGTGGTTTGTGAAACCCTTGGCCACACTAGTCTAGATATCAAGGTCCCCTTATTGGCTCCTTTAATGACTCCATCCATTCAGAGCTCTTTTCGGAAGTTGCTTTTAATGCAGGAATGTCTAGAATCGATCATGATCGGCCTGCTATGTTGTCAAGAGTCTCACAGGCATGATCTTCATCATGCAAAGCCAACGCCGAAGAGAAAGACCTGCAAGAGAACCGTAAGCTGACTTAGCTTGCAAGCTACTTGCACAACTGCATGGACCGTCTCAGGCAGTGTGAACCTGCATCTGTCCTGCGGACCCAGTTCTATTTCCGTAGAGTAACTTCGCTTGGACTTGTAGATACGACTCGACGATATCCCTACGGGGCTTTTAGGTTCTATCATGTCGTTTTTCTTCAATCCATAGCTGTTCAGAACTGCGTTTAGCTCCTGTTAGTGCTTGGAGCAACATTTGCTGCACTTTTAAGAGTTAGGGCACGGCACGAAGCTAGGATACAGCAGCGCAACCCGCAGTATTCTCCGCAGTTCACCTTCATCCTCTTTGCGATTGGCGTAGCGGCCCAAGCTTGTGCTGGGGAAGCAATTGCAGATGACAGCAGAACTTTCAGGTAACGACTGTGTCTGTGTGCCGCCAGGTGAACTTTTCACAGCTGATTCTACTCTTGCTGCTCTGGTACTGGAGGGTACCGAAGCTGAAGCACATCGACTGGAGGCAGACCGTAGACCATCCTCAGTTTTCCTGCCAAATGACACAGACAAAGGGGGACTCCGAGTGGCAACCACAAGAGTCAGATATTCTGAGCCAGCAGGGCAGTGGCGCACTGCTTGGGTGCCTGGTCTGCCTTGGATGTGGCCTTGATCAGCCACCCGACCCAAGGTTCTATCGGAAGTTGCATGTTAGTTCTTAAGCGTCAGCATTGAGGCTCAACCTGCAGCGCGTACTGACAATACTATATGGTATGCTAGGGAGAGTGGCAAGTTCACCACATGGCTTGACCTTGCGCAGAACCTCGACGAAGGTATGATCATTACCATGCTGGAGTTGGGAGCATCGGACTTCGTCCACCTTTGGGACAGTGACAAGCGGAAACTGAGTCGAAGGCATGTCTTTCGTTCGCTGATACAGTTTTTGGTTCAGCGATTCGGATCCTTAGAAACAGGTTTGGCATCGACGTTCGTGGCCCTGAGAAGGGCCTGACCGTCGCCACTCGTCTGTGGGTGAGTTTCGAATGTGTTAGATTTATGGCGAAAGGGTGTGCAAATCGAACATCAGCTCGTGTGGACAGGCATGCGCCATTCGATTACTCATGCTGACAGCCAAGGACGTCGTTCTGAGCTCCGGTACATGTCTGCTTTTTGTCCGGACCTCAGCGGCGAAAGCTTTGCATCTTGGCTCTCCGAGACTCCCTGTCCACCCTGGCAGGTTGCAGTGCTGCTGCAGGCCGCGGGAAAGGTCATAAATCTACAGTCGACCGGCCTATGGCCGTGGCCTACTTATGACCTGTATGTTGAAACATCACTGTATCCATCTTTGGAGTTGCCTAATGCGCTTGGAAGCTTGGGGAGGCCTGGGCCTCGCGAGCAGCCCTCCACTTCTTGGACAAGAGGACAGGCTTCCGATGGTATCAGCGAGGTCTCTTCGCATTCTCTTGCAGGGCCAAGTCATGCCACCAGCATGGGCGCTTGGAAAGGAGTCCCAATGCCATGCAGCGTGGGCGCGAGCGATTGTATCTTGCTCGGCAGTGCTGTTCCCAGCGTCACAGAGATGAGTCAAAGCCAAGGTTGGTGCAGTGAGACCTGTGCGACACAAAGATGCTTGAAGGCACAGTATGTCAGACGTTCAGAGCACAGAATGACAGGGCAGCAGAAGATTCGTCTACACAGGGTAATTCCATTCATACATAGTTAGTATCGTATCAATGTGCACACCTGATTTCGGCGGTGTCGCGAAGAATGGTCCCTAACTGGCCGCTTTACATACCGAGACACTTGCATTGGCGATGACATGCATGCGCCGATTAGCTCGACTATGTGCCCAAACTCTGCATGGCGTTACGTTGCTGAGGAGCTCATATGCCGGCTGACCTGAATTCGCTATTATCAGACATGCCCTCACTGAATTGCACTTGCTCGTTGCTTGCCGAGAAATGAGTGTGCTTCTGCTGGCCAGAAGAAGCTAGCAATGCGCAACCACCAGTAAAGCTGGCACGCAAACTGAACGAGTTGCACGGTGCGGGATGTGATTGCACAGCCTGAGAGTTGTGTACGTCAATTTGTGCTCAACACATGTGTTGCGATCTTTGTGCCTTCAGCCGCCATCTTTAAAGCCTGGAGGTGCAGAAACAGAAGGCAAATCTGGCCCCAGCCTGCTGCGACGGACAGAGAATCAAGTCTCCTTGCACGTACCAGTAGGCCGTAGGCACCTTCTGTCGGGCATATGGCTGGGACCCATGCCCATCGTTTACACAGAGCGATGAGGGTCGCTCCTGGTTACACAGATTTCCGGGCTAGCCAGGTCCCATCAGGTGCTGGGCAAAGGTTGGAATCTCTGACATGGTTGGTTTCAAGGGTCAAGGGAGTCAAGTGTAAGCCAATCGAGAGGTGGCCTTGGCATGGTTTCTACCAGATTCACAAGTGCTGCGTCATCCTGCATCTATAAGGCGGCCAGCAATAGGCTCGTACGAGTGGAGCGCTCGGGGGGATCTGCAAGCTCCGTCTGCTGTGGCCTCTGGCACTTGGTATGCGACGGCGGGGAAAGAAAGTCTGCACGCCGCTGCGGTCCGCCGTCCACCGTAGGCTATTCATCCTTGTCCTCGTGCCATTTGGTCGTCGCCTCATGGCTTCCCAGCGTACAGGGGAGTCAAGATGCAAAATCGGCACATCCCCGTTCCAACGCATTTTTCGACTGTCACCACAGATGGGAAATATAGCTTCGCAGCCACATTGAGCCACCGTCAAGGCATGCAGATTTTGCTGTCCTGTTTAGCGGGAGCAGTGCCCATCGGCTTATCTCAGACCCATGCAGCCAGCATGGCAGCCGCCCCTGGCAGACCAAATGTGGCATCCTCAGAGGAGTCAGAGGCTGTTGGGTCGCTGTATGCGTAGTTCTTGAGGTTGCCGGGCCTGTCCGTGTCTTCGTCCGGCTGCGGCCGCCTGCGGAGAGGCCTTAAAAGCGCAGCTCGGGGTCTCTCAGGGCGGTGCCACGTGCAAAGGCAGACGATCGAGATGTTCGAGATCAGCCCCGAACGACAAGGCGCCCTTTAACCCGGAAGCAGCCTTGCTTTTCAAGCATTGCTTTGTTGAAGTTCCCGCCTGCATTTGGCCACAAGTCTGATTGAAACTCAGCAGGTGTTGTTACCATCAAGGACCCATTGTCATCTGGCCGACGGGAGACGCTTGCCAAAAATATGCAAGTCCAGACTGAGCTGTCATGAATCGCATGGAAACTCATGATAGCATTGCATTGGTTATCACGAAGCCAAAAACCATGTTCGAGTGGCAGAAATCATGCCCTTGCTGGATTGGTGGTTCGTGCTGTGCGCATGATGTTGTGAAGGCAAAGCATGGTGCTCGGGTAGACGTGTTTACATGTCTGTCTGTCTGCCCATGTTCAAGCCTCCCTGCGCCTTTCTGTCTCTTTCCTGCTTTCCTTCCGTTGGTTGCGGATCTTTGAAGCACTCAGGCACAGCTTCGAGTTCAACATGGTCTTCAACGAAGAGACATCGCAAGATCAGCTGTTTATGCCGGTGGCGGGTCAGGCAGTAGAACCTTGGACTGAGCACCTTGGTGACCTTGGTCTGTCAGCCTTGCGTGTGACACTTGCCAGGCATGCGCATTACAGTATATTTTCCGGATAATCCTGATCTTTGGAATAGCTCTGATGTAGCGCTTTCTTGACCGAGGATGGCGCCCTTCAGGGACGCACTTCGGCAGCAAAATCAGAGCACCCATGCCTGCAGCCGACACAGAGTTCTCAATTGCAACGCCTTCGTCCGACACAGAAGTGTGTGCAGATGTCGCCAGCTAAGTTGGAGGAAGACCGGTTGCTTTCGTCTTTGTTCCCTCAGGAGATTCGATTTCCCAAAAAGCGTTCAATCAGAGGTTCAGAATCTCCTGTCACTCGTATGACAAATTAGGAAGTGGCTGTGTCATCGCCTACGGTCAGACTGGCTCGGGCAAGACCTACTCCATCTTTGGCGAGGAGAGCTTTGGCCGTTGTCGCGCTCGGGCCACTTACCTCTGCACTCGATGGCTTGGAGATTTCCCGTAGCTGCTGCAGTGCGACAAATTTCAGTTTTTCAATGCTCGGCCCTTGCAGGCCCTAGAGGCCTAGAGATTGGTGCTTGCATGCGCACTGCAGGATGAAAGCCCGACTGAGAGGGGCCTCCTCCCGCGAGCCATGGAACGGCTGCTGCATGGATGCGCCGGGTCCCTGCTCGGCCAGGGATGCTTCTTCTGTCAAAACGCATCGCGAGTGTTCGCTTAACCTGAGCCCGAGATCTGAAAGCCTGACGACCCTCGAAGCTAGCCCAGCATCCTGTCTCGCTGATAGAGAGTCTGCTAGGCACAGAAGGCAAGCAGAGATGGAGAGGAGTTGGACGGCATCACAGTGCCTCGGCAGGCATCTGCTCTGGCCAGTCTCCGTCCCAGCTGCCCCTTTTTCAGATCTGATTGTGTCGAATTGTCGCTGTATTACAAAGGTAAGCTTCCTGGAAGTCTACATGGACCAGGTGCAGCCTTGCAAACACAACTGGGGCGGTCGACTTGCTGCCGCAATAGACGAGTGCTCGTAGATGCCTACAGTACCCTCTCAGGTTCGGGATCTCGGCTTCGGGAGCAGCATGGAAGATCAGGCGCAGCCGAGATTCAGGGCGGGAGTCCTCGTGCTTTCGTGTTCAAGCGCTTTTCGTCCTTGCTTTCATACAGGATGGGAGTACTGGTAGGGTAGGGCCTCTTCGTTTTTCTTCTTGCTCCAGCTGCAGGCAACTGAAGATGCAACGCCCCGTAGATCTTCGAGCCTTTGCAGCAATTAGTTCGTCGGTCCTCATTCCGTCTGTCCTCCTTTGGTGCTGGGCTCCTCGGTGATTTCACCTGGACAGAGAGATTGTTTTTTCGCGACAGAGAGTCATGGTGAGCAGTCAGTCTTACGCCGCAGACTACTCAGACAATCATGCTAGGAGTGGTGGCCTTGCCAAAGATGATGGAGGCTGGGAATGTGTGCTCCCCTGCACATCGGGTGCAGGGAGGGGGCGAGGTTCCTCACGACTCAAGAGATTCAGAGGCTAGGGGTTGAGGCGTTTATCCGTATCCCCTTCAGTGATGTTGCCGAGTGCGATGAGGTGATTGCCAGTAGACCAGACACTGAACATTTGCACGAAGAGCTTTCCACCTTTGCTTTCGACATTCTTTTGCAACACTCGCTGAGGTTATTTCAGAAACGGGAAGCACAGCCGTTTTTTGTCCGTCCCGCAAGGTGTCCTAGGACTCTTCGCATTTACTTCGTATCGTTTTTTATGTGTTTGTTTGCCTTCTGTTCACATTTGTTTGCAGTTGTTGTCGAAAAACTATCTCGCCTGTTTACGGAGGTCGCGGTCTTGGAGAAGCCGAGCTTTGAGATCCTTAACACTCTGCCGGTGATATCCCCTACTCGCGGCTGGTACATCGTGTGCACGAGATTTTCCCCACGCTCAACCTGTCGTCAGCGCACATATTTACATTGCTGTCGGTTCTCTCGCGGTTTTTATCAATGAAGGTGTGTGGCGACTATACCCTGTCCCCGTGCGCAGCCATAATGCAGGTTGACGTCTGCTTGTGGGCACACAAGTATATAACCCTGTCGCGGTTTTATTCCGTCGTCTGAAAGTACTCGATAGCAGGATTTTCACACCCGAGTACTTTCCCCGTTCCTGGTTGTTTCAGCACTTTTTCACACATTGCTCCACCGTCTCATTCGGCCTCTTGTGGAGTTTCTCATAGAGTTGTGGGACTCACTCCGATGTTTCACCTTAGCTCAGTCGGCAGTTCAGCTCTGGACTGGCCCTGTGAACTTGGTCGGACTTCCATGCTTTCTATATGTGTAATCATGGATGCCATGCTGTCTGTGATCCTTCGATAGCAGTTGCATGTCGCAACTGCTTGATCGTTCATCCACTGCACTCACATGTTTGGTGTTATTGTGAGTCCTGTCGTTTGCAGACGCATGACACCGTCGATCACGACTTCGCACGATTTCTGCGAGCATACGACCAGCCCTCATGACCAGAAGATGGAAACATTACAAAAAAGCTTCCTGTATGATGCTGGCTTAGCATCGAAGCGCAGGCCACGCCAACATTTCCCCTAGCGACTCTAGCTTGAGTTGGGCTGAAAGCAGGTGCCGGGTAACCTGCTGTTGCCACGGCAGTGTCCAAAAAACCCTAAAACCCCAAAGCCCCTGAACCCTATAGTATCCTTATGGAACCCTTTAAGGGAACCTGAACCCTATAGTATCCTTATGGAACCCTGTAAGGGAGCACTTTAAAGGAACCTCGATCCCGCGTTCTCTGAATTGCGACACCGTGAGAGCAGGAGAGCCGGCAGTGCAGAGACGGCCCAAGCTGAGACGCTTCGCCACGCAAGGTCCCTTATCCAATGCTGCCAGTGATATATACTACAATATATACTATAATTTGTACTATATATGTTGTGCTATAATATATATATATATATATATTTATGGCTTCTTCAGCTGTTTGACAGGAAGCGGCCCGGGAGTGGGTTACAAGAAGTTTAGCCCTAGGCCACTTCCTTCACACGCACACTGAACCTGTTAGGTGCGTAGGTGGGGTGTGGAACTCCAAAGGCAAACTTCAGACCACAATCATCCCATGGGAGGCTCAATCGCCGACAGAGACCAAGGGGGACAGAATTTGGTGTTGCGAGAAACTCCGGATGGCTCGATCCAGGTCCAGGCACCCACCTGATCCTCTGTTTGGTTTCGGAATGTTTCAGACCTTGGGTCTGGGAACTTGGGCTTCTTTGCCTCACAGACATGGCGTTGTCGCATGGATTCATTCGCCTCTGTCTCGCCTGCATGGCGGCATAGTCGCTCTCGCGAGTGTAGAAATCCCCGGAAGTTTCTTCACCAGATTGCCGGGATTTGCCAAGACAAAAATTCCCTCTTTACCATGTGTTTCGTTTTCAGAAGCGAATAGTTGCAACAACATGAAGTCCGTCTCAGATCCGATTGTCTCTCCCATCTTGCCAGTCTCGCCTGTGCTGAACACTTCTCGCAGGGACTTGCGCAGCTCAAAGCTGAGAGCTCAGATCGATGGTGCTGAAGGGAAGCTCCATTATCGCCTCGTCCTCCCTGGAGCATTGACAATCTGCCTGGCAGATACCTTTCCCTAGTTACTCCCTTCTGCTGATGAGGTGCGAGACTTGGCCGACGTTTCACGCATCGTGCGTGCTGGTCTAGCTCGTCGGGCGACAGCCTTGACGGACACGAGCTCACGTCGCGCCACTGCCTTCCATGTCGCTGAGTGTTGCCCCTTGAGCCCAGTTGAGTTCAGAATGGCCTGCGCAGCACGTCTGTCTTCTGTCTGTTAGTACTGCACTGTACTGGAAATAAGTGTTTACCAGGCACATACACACATGTCCACCAGGGATCATGAGGCCTAATTACGTGCACGCGCACTTGTGTCTGCTTGTGCGTACGCACCTATGTATGTATGTATGCATTCATGCATGTATGCATCTATGTACGTAGCTAGGTAGGTAGGTAGGTACGTAGGTAGGTAGGTAGGTAGGTAGGAAGGTAGGTAGGTTTGTAGGTGCGTAGGCATCTGAGTAGGTAGGCTTGTAGGTGTGGAAGGATGTATGGATGTGTGAGATGCATGGATGCTTGGATGCATGGTGTATGTATGTACGTATGTAAGTGAGGATGCATGCCAGCATGTGTACGTGTCTACATGCATGAATGCATGAATGTATGCGTTTATGTATGCATGTTATGTCATCATGTCCGTATATCTTTGGGTAAAGATGTATATGCGTATATCATATGTGCATGCAAATATACATGTACGTATGTGTCTGCCTATGTATGTATGTATGTATGTATGTATGTATGTATGTATGTATGCATTTATGCATG